TAGAAAGGAGAAAAACGACATTGGTTCCACTGTAGTTTTGGACAAGCTCTTCTACCCAGAATGCAAATAAATGATGCTCAGAGCAATCCTAATATTTTTACTTGCATACAGCCGAAAATTTCTACGCATACATGGCAGCTGGTCCCCCTAGCCACCGTAGGAAGTAGGTGGGGCTGGCACTATGATTTCATATTTACAGAGAAACCAGTGTCGGGTACACGGTCTGGAAAGGGTTGCACAAGGGGAGGGAGATGGCACCTCCACACCCCAGGCTACCTTACATTCCTGTGAGGTGGGTGCCAAGAAAAGTCAAACAATGCTTGGGTGTGGAAGGCTGGTCCATATCGAACCGTAACCGGGAAGAGCTCAAGTACAATAAAGGTGGGTTTGGGGCTCAAATCTGGAGTCTGAATTCTGCTTCGCTCTCGTGCACTCTTGGTTTGGTGTTTGTAAGCACTGCTTATACTGTTTCAAAATGAAGATAATTCTGACTTCCCAAGGCCGTTTCGAGGTCTAACATAAACATTAGTACTGTAATCAAGCTTCCTGGGTTCCCCACACCTCTTTCTTTCTCTGTTAGACTCTTCTTTCGTGAGGGACTTGAGTGTTCTTATATTTTGCCTCTCTGGAAAATTGTTCTCAATTATAATCTTAGCACATCCGAAGATATTATTCATTTAAGGTATCTCTATTTAATGGTTTCCTTCTGCTCTTGTTTACTGAGTCCTCCAAATTTTATGTATTGGAAACTCAACCATTAAATTCATATTTAACAGTATTTGGAGGTGGGTGGGATTTTTGAGGATGTAATTAGTATCAGATGGGGCCATGAGTGTGAGGTCCTCATGATACAATTAGTGGCAGACAGGGATCCTGACACCCCCACCACGCTATTGTTCAAGAACGCCCTTACCAGATGGTGGTACCATGTTCTTGGATTTTGCAGGCTCTGCATGTATGGGCATGGTAAAAAGCAAACACTAAATTAGATCCAACCTCTCCACCTGGCCAGATACCACACATTCTTTTCCAGTATCATCTGATAAGTGTATTCAAGGAATCTTCTCTTTGCAACAGATGGAGGTCATTACAGAAAACCACAGTCAATCAGAATGCAGAGTTATGGAGTCCTGTCCCAGTTGACAGCACACGACTCCCATAACGAAGGCTCAGGGATCACCGCTGAAGTGGGGTTGGAAAGACCGTATGGGCCAGAGGAACAGGGAGTTTGCCGTGAGACTGTTTCTCTGAGGAATGTCCGAAGCTACACCCATACATTCTCACTAATACGACAGCTGAAAAATGAGCGGAGCAAGGACAACAACAATAAACATGTCATATCGGACGGGAAAAGAGCACAGGGCCTCAACTCGATACAAAGAACTACAGGCTGCTAAGGAATGATGAAAAGAAAAACAGCCTTCTCCAGGGAAGAGCACACAAACTTGGCTATCCAATTCCAAATGATTAGTTCTGAGAATACACATAAAAGTAACAGCCATAGACTGAATAGGCTATATTTAGGAATCTATATGTATACATATATACATGCATGTACATATCCATGTGTATATAACAACAATAAATGAAAAGAAAGGCCAGGAATTTGAAGGAGAGTAGGGAGGTGTCGGTGAGGGCTTGGAGGAAGGAAAGGGAAGGGGGGAAATGATGTATTATAATCTCAAAATAAAACGACACATTGGCAAAAGTCATTTAGGAAATTTGGAAGCATTTGCCTTTGTATAGATATGTCTGCCGCTTGACAGAAAACCATGAAAAGTGATTTTAAGAAATATGTCCCGCATAAGTGAGCAGAACTAGCCCTGGCAACCAACTGCAGATTGCATATATGAGCCACAAATAAGTCTTCCCCGAAAAGATAAATTTCCCCTGATGATAAAACTGAAATGGGGTGAGCTAATCTGCAGTAATGTATGTGACATTGAGGCAGTGACTCATAACTTAGGAGCACTCTTCAGTAGACATAGTAGATGTCCTGGTTAGTTATTAGTGTCACCTAGACACAGCCTGGAGTCACCTAGGAATGGAGAACTTCAGCTGAAGAATTGCTTTACTTAGATTGGCCTTGATCATGTCTAGGAGAGATTGTCTTGACTGATGATTTTTTTGGGGAGAGCATCCACGCCCACTGTGGGTGGCACCATCCTTAGGCAGGTGGGTCTGGGCTATATAAGAAAGCTATCTGAACAAGCCAGGGAATGGGTCAGCCAGTACCATGCCTCTGTTGTTTCTGCTTGAGTTGCTGACCTGATTTCCCCTGATGGTGGCCTGGATGTGTAAGTCAGGTAAACCCTTTCCTCCCCAAGTTGCCTTTTAGTCAGAGTGATGTATCAGAATAAGAGAAAAGCAAACAAGGATAGTCAATACCTCCTTCTAGAATTTTGTTTTTTCCCCACTAGATTTAATTTTCTTCAAATGTTAGTCACACGGCTCTGTGGATACAGCCCTTTCTATGCACATCCTCCTGCGTGTGGCATGCACACGCCCACCTAACGCACACACAGCACACAGCTCTTTAGCTAACTCTAAAGTTATAGAAAGCTATTCCTTGTAAATGATGTGTCTTTTGGTTGAATCGTTTCTTAGGGAGGTGAGAAAATACAAATTTGACCCCAGAAGAAGAAGCACAGGTAAAGGATGGGCTCCCGCTCTTTAATTATTTCGAGTTGCTGCAGGCCATCAGAGATCTCCCCTCTGAGTCCCAGCTCCTTTCATCTTCACTGGCACTCCCCTAAACAACAACACTGCTTTGATTCGGCAAATACCCCGAAATTCCCCAAAGGAAAGAGTGTTCTCTTGAGGACATTGAGTCAAACACTCTATCTTCAAAGGTTTGTCCGCTGGAGACTCACATTCCTCAGCTCCTTTCCAACTCAGATTGATTAATATTAAAAAAAAAACAAACCCTCAAACATAGTGTTATAAATACTTCAGTTATTTATTTATTTCGGGCATATTGCTTTATTTATTTGATTAGAGGTAAGGTTAAATTTTCCTTCGTTTTGTTTCTATATTCGCACTTGTCACAAGCCATTCTTACACTCGCTTTAGGAAATTCTAAGTCTGGACCACTGGGATGAGTCACACAACGTCTCAATTCTCATCTAGAAGAATTTTAGCCTCCTACCCACCCTCTCTTAGCTGTCTTATCTCCTGTCATAAAATAGGGCTTGTGTAACGCAGAATACAGTTCTGGAAAAGACAAAAAAAATATTTAAAAATAGACTAGACTGCTCTTAGTAACCTCTCTCTCTATATGGAAATAAAATACAACAGCTCCAAGGGCCAGCCACACTGAGGCAGCAAGCATCCTGCGGAGATTTCGGGGTCAGTAAATCTAATAGTTCCAGTGAGTCTCACTTGCCCTCAGCAATCTGCTTTCAGTGTGTTGCTAGAGTGACCATCGGTGAAATCTGGCCTTGTCCCTCTCCAGCTTAGGCCCTTTGTTTACTTTCATAGCTTTCCGTGAGGTTTGCCAGGACCCTGCAAAGATTTGACTTCATCCCTGTTGGCCTGGGGCTGTGCCTCAGTTGTCTATGGCAGGGAGCCCACCTCTACCCACGGGAGGCTTGACAATTCTGGGTGTTTGTTCACACTGTCTTCCTCCTCAGGCACCCAGCTGGCTCCCTCCCTGGCTCTATTTGCTTTACTTCTCAAGCCTCAATCTTAATCCTTTGCTGGAAGTTTCTCCAGGAACCCATCTGTGCTATCTTCACTGCATTCTCTTCCTCACCCCACATTGCCCTCACCTGAACTTGAACCTCATAAAAAGCAAGGACAGTGTCTTCTTCAGTTTTTCAAGTCCAGCTCCAGTTACACACTTAGTCGGACCCTACATAAATGTGTGAAATGCTTGAACAATGAAAATTCGGTGCGACTAGATTCTTTTGATGAGTTAGTTAGTGAAAACATTAGTTATTATGACCTTGAAAAGATTCAATATGAAGAACGCTATTCATTTCTAATCATCTGGGAAGCAGCAGCTCTCTTTCAGGAGGACCTTGAGTTTAGAAAAATTACGTGTTCAGTCCACAGTTACACTGTGAGTGTGGTAGACACAGGTCATCAGTTTACCCTGTGATGGGAACAGCCTCAAACTGATGAAAACCAACGGGACCCTAAGATGAAGTTTTGATGATGCTTGAATGAAAGGAAAGATTTTAGTCATTTAGAGGAACCAGCCTCCTTAAATCACATCTACCAAGCAGACAGGAACCAAAGGCTTGGCCCAATGTTTTCTTCTTCAGTAAATGCTGACCTATGTATAAAACCCGTTTATAGTCTACATAACTGTTTTCTCTTTTTCTTAGTCTTAACAAATTGGCTCTTTTATTATATTAAAAAGTTCATAAACCATGTTTATTTCAAATACAAGATTTAACGAGAGCTCTGAATCAGAGCCATAGCTGAGTTTAAATGTTAATACTTAAAATATGCACACACCTCCCCTAACGACTCTAGCAATAAACTGAAACCCGTGAAGCATAGTACTACAAATCCTTTCTCTTGGTCACGTATTTCTTCATCTTCCTGACCCTTCAGTAAATGTATCTATCAGTAGCTGAGACCTCCCTCTAGATTCCAGCATATTCACCTTCTCCCCAGGCCTTGGGCCCACTTAGTGCTCATGCCTTCATCATCTAGATTCCCTCTTGGAGACAAGTCTTGAGGCCCTGTCAAGTATTTAGGAATGACAAGGAGGCTTCCCCTTGCCTGCCAGCACACCCTTACTGTCTTCTTCAAAGCACAATTACTGAAAATGTAAGAAGCGTTCTTTGTCTTGCCAAAAAAAAGTACAATAAAAGTCAACATCCTATCCAATTCAACTCACGCTCCCTTGTTTTTCCTTGTAATCAATACTAATCAACAGCAATGCACTGCTGATAGCCTAATCACTTGCATGGATAAAGGGCAATGAAATGAATGAGGCTGCAATGGGCGTGTTTATTTTGCCACGTGACTGCAGCCTTGTTACTCACTGGTGGTCCTGGAGGGCCTGGGTTTCCTGGAGGTCCTGTCTTCCCTCGTCTTCCCTTGAAATGAAAAGAAAATAGATTAAGTGTTGTGGTTTGATTTCATTTTAATATAACAATATTAGGCAGCAATGTGGAAGACAGTAAAAGTATTTTTAAAAATAAGTTTAAAAAACAATTCCAAGTCCACACAACTCTTGCACATCAACGAATTCTGAAAACTGTGGGCCAGTACACTACCATGTTGGGGAATATTCGGCCGGAAATGTACTGATTCTAATTGCTGTTGACCTTTCCCGTGCAAATTATCTTGACACTCCACTCAATGTTTGATGACTCTGCAGTTCTAGTTCAGATAAAAATTGCAATTTAGATGAAATAACAAATGTTTTTTCAGCAGTTGGAGAAATGGTTTAGTGGTTAAAAGCCCCACCTGTTCTTCCAAATGACCAAGGTCCAGCTTCCAGCACCCCCACACAAAAGTTTTCAACCAGAGGATCTGTCACCCTCTGCTGGACTCCATCGGCACTCAGGTAGAGGATGCAGGAAAGACGTATACAATAAATAAAAATAAAAATAAATAAAATCTCAAAAAAAAAAGAAGGTTCCGAAGGGGGTCTGAATTCTAGTGTGATTAATTAAGGCACCCAGTGACTAATTAAGAAACTGGTTTAAAGCCTTGGGGCTAAGAGCCCTGAATCTGTACTTCAGAAGGACTTCCAGGAATCCTTACACTCACTAAAATTTGAAAAGCGTCGCATTGATCAAATCATATATCCTATCTACAGTATACAAGCTAGCTCGTTCCTTCCAGCTGGATAAGTGAACTAACTGCATAATTCTTGCAGATCACTCATTATTATAGCTCAGTGTTCACACTTCCAGATTCATGACGGGCTGAATTCCAACCGCAGGGGCCAGAGACATAGACTTGTGGTGATATGGTTAATAAACTGCATGTCTAAAATTAAATAAAAGAATTTAGGTGCCATTATTATTATTGTATATGCGTGGAGGTGCACTTTTACATATGGCTTCCAGGGTACCCACTGAGTCCACTCTCTCTGGCCCTAGCTATTAGTTAAAAAATCACTTAATCTTTTTTCCCCTTAAGACAAGGAAAATACCTTTGTTTGAAGCAATATGTTCTGAATGAGGAAGATTTCTGAGCTTATGTTTCCTAAACACTGCAATTCCACCCCAAAGACACGACTTTAGTAAGAATGATGTTGCCATACTGAGAGGTACTTACACAATTATGGCTCCATGGCAACAGTACTTTTAAAAGTAAAGACACTATTAGGTCAACCTTTTCAATGTTTTTGATATGTTTGAGAACTATAAGTACAGAAAAGCCCATTGCATTGATGAATTTTATTCAGGCTTGATGTTGGGTAGGGCGTCTAAACAGCAGCTGGGTCTGTTGGTTCAGCTTTGAGAAGTAAGCAAACATTATGTTGTGACTGGGGCGAGAAATGTTCCCATTGCTATGGGAGAGAAGTCAAGGGCAAACTGTTAGGGACTTCATGTAATGGCCGCTCCACTCAGGGACTCTGACTGGCTGTGGTTACCTGCGCAAGGCCTGCATGGGATTGAGCTGTCAGCATTCTGTTAGGAGTGGGGAAGGATCTCAGGAGGTCCCAGTCCTAGAGGGGACTAAATGGCCGCTGGGGGTGGGGATGGAGTTCTTCAGTGGTGCCACCAAAGGTGAGTGTCCTTGCTTCCACACCCTTGCTTGTCCCATGTTTATGTAAACAACCCTGATTTAACCCAGTGAGTCAATTTTTCTTTTTCTTCTTTTTTAAGAGACAAAAGCAGGAGGGGGATTGGTTGGGAAAACGAGTTCAGAGGGAGGTGAGGAGTAAACATAATGATGAAAATATGATCAAAATACATAATATACACGTACAAAATTGTCAAAGAATAAACAGAACCCACCCTTTCTTTAAATACTTCTAAGATTCACATTCACAGAACAGAAAACGCACTCAAATCACCACAGCCATAGAGTTAGTGGTGTTTCCATATGCTTTCTGTTTAAACACTAGAAATTTTGGCTTTCTTTGGAAGGACCGTAAGATTGGAAAGAATAGGTAATTTTATATTCTGTGTATTTAGTGCAGATTATACATACATGCAAGAAGCTAGTCTTGCAGTATATATATTCTGGCAATCGATATATTTGATTTTTACTAAATGCGAGGCAATTGCCTTTGAGAGCTAAAGGAGGATAAGGAGTTTACTCAGAAGTAGAAGCATTGTAATTTACTCATTTGCAAGAGTACTAGAAATGAAATCAAAGACCTCTAAGCAGGTGATCCATTTCTTCTGTAAGCATGCATTAGGTTGAGTTTAAGTTAAAAACCGGAGTGTCGGGTTTGTTTATAGTCCCCTTTCTTCAAAAGAGAAATGGGTATCTGTTTGAACTGGAAGCAGGGAAAATGAGGCTATTGATCAATTTTTATCACAGAGTTTACGCCAAGACAAACCAAGTGTCAGATTCCATAACACAGCGTTGATGTGCTACTATGAGGACCAAAAAGCGTCCACGGTTCTGGATGGAGAGGGCAAGCATCCAGACGCCTTCATTTCTCCACTGATTTACGTGATGTGTTACACAGCCCTGCCGGAGCCCTATTGGGCTTACTGAGTGCAGGGAGGGCTGGCTCGCTAGTACATCCTTCCAAAGAGTGGACAAGCAAGTAAGATATTTGCGAGGGTTGTAAACATAAAGGAACATATTTGTGAGGGTAACTTCGGCCAACACATATTTTCAGCTTAAGGCCTGAGAGTCTTGTAAGTGCCAGAAGCATATTTGAACAATTTGAAGTGTCTGCTTCACAGCCCCCATCTCCCTCCCTCATTCTAGCTTTATTAAGCATAGCATAGGGAATAGGCGAGGCAGGACTGAAATTTCAGGTCCCAGTCTCAGTGTCCTGCAGAGGGCACTCTGGCACAAGGCGGACAGAACCATGAGGGGAACTTCAGAGTATGAGAGAGATATTAGAGTTCCCGTTCATTGTCAGACATTGTCTCTCTTCCCTCCAGGAAGCTCCAGGATCTCTCTCTTACTCCCCTCTGGAAGGTCACAGCAGCACTCACAGGAGCTGCGCCATCTCCTCTTCTTCTGCAAAGTCTCTCGAGTCTACCCCAGAGCTAAGAAATTTCTCTCTCTCTCTCTCTCTCTCTCTCTCTCTCTCTCTCTCTCTCTTTTCTACTGCAAAGTGTATTGTTTGGGGGAACAATAGAAAGAGTACTTTGTTGCTGATACTTTAGCCAACACAACAGGCACAAACCTCTATTCACATTAAGACTGAAATTGGGTTTCTTCATTACAGTAAGGTGTCAAGATTTTCTTCCCAAGGCTCTGCAGCACTGGCTGGGAGCACATGGGGCTTGGAGTGGGAAGGTGTAGATGGGAGTGTTAGGGAGGAGTCCACCATGCTGATGGGGGAATGTTTATTACATGTCTGCCTCCATGCTTGTCTCCTCTTGTTTCTCTCCTTTCATCTCAAGTCTTATTATAGGTCCGCTGTAAAGGAAGACAAAAAGTGGGAGCTCGGATATTCACAAGAAGGGAAATCCTGCAGATACCTCATCCAACTGCAGATCTAGGGGAGACTGTCCTCCTTAGGGCAGCTGCTTTCAGGAGGTTATTTCTTCAGAAACAGCTTTGATAAACCTCACCCCACAAACCTCCCAATGCAGAGAGATCTGCCATTCCTGCCTTATGATGATCAAGCTAATCTAATACATTCCCGACAACCAAGGTAGAAAGCATAAAATCATAGATTTACTCCAGCCTGTTACCCTGGAAACCTCAGAGAGTTTTTCTGTTTGGCAACCGTAGAAAGATTTTGAGCTACAATTTAGATTTCTGCCCAGTGTTTGCTCAAACCCAAAACACCAGTTAATATGGATGGTCTCTGCCCTAGGCTGGCGTTTCCAGAGTGGAAGGTCTCAGATCTGGGAATTAGCATCTCCACTAAGTCCTGTAGAGCATAGACCCACAAGTCTCATAAAAAGTAGTTCTATCGGTTCACTGATTATGTGAAACTGAAAATGATCTTTGTCAAATTAAGACGCAGCTAGGCTGGGTTAACTGTCTTTTTTGCACATATAAACATTATGTGTACGTGTGAAAGTTCCATTGCTATACAACGGTGTTTAAAAGCAGCCACAAGTTTGTTGAAGATTTCAAAAGAGATTACTTGTAAAAAAAAAAAAAAACAAATAAAAAAATACCCAGGAAGTAGTAAACCATGGGGACTTATTAAACCATCCTTCGAACCACCAAAAAAAAAAAAAAATACCCAGGAAATGACAAGTGTTGACAAGGATGTGGGAAATGAATACCTATGGACTGCTGGCAGGACTGCCCAGTGGTGCCATCGCTGGATAAAATGTTATGGTGCCCAGAAAGTTGAAAATAGGACTGCGTATGGTCTTCTGGGAACATACCCCAGTACATACTTCTTGGGGCTGAAAGCATCCCAGGGACTCACAGGCTGCTTTTGATGGAAGCATTGACTCTTCTCTGGAGCCCACAGATGTCCCATGGGTAACTCAAAGCAGGATGAAACGTGGTATCTCTACCTCTATACTTGACCTCGGCCTTTGCTAACTCTTGTTTGTCTTCCTGTCACTCAGACAAGTTCGTCATTTTAGGAGTGTCTAAAATTCCTAATGCAAGCATCCCAAATTAACCCAATTACTTTTCTCTCACTCAGAGGCTAAAGACAGTAAGGTAAGAGCAAGATATTTTCCTGACTTCGAGGATCATCATGTCTGATGGACATTGACCATCTGATGTTACAGTACCCGCTGTAGACCACAAAGGTGGCACCAAGAGTCTCCAGCCATGGCCCTAAACCTGAAAGAAGACCCTGTAGTCATGGCTGCAGGCAACGGTATTTCATTCTCTAACTTACTCTTTTTCAGCGATTGCTCCTTTCCAGCTTACTGAAAGTTCCAGGAACAATGAGCCTTGTCGGCAGGCCATCATCTCCCCTGGTGCCAGGAAACCCAGCACAGCCAGAGCTGAGACGACAATCAGTCAA